GAAACAAGATTATCCATTCAAATGAGTATATAATACACAACAAAAAACCATGGAGTGGGAAAAAAAAAGGATTTTCAGTTGGACATCCAAACAGACACTACTTAAGAGACTGATAAACAACAACATCCCAAAGATCATCTTCAATTTTCAACTCATCCCGAAAAGTATCAGATATTTGGTACTGATATATAAATGGATTCCATCATAAAAAGATCCCTACAGAAAGAGCCTATCCACTTACCATGGTCACAAATTTTTCATGTGCATCTGAATTTGTATGTGACAAATCTTTTAGGCTGCAACTGATACAATGAAGTACATCATAAGCTTCTTTTCTGCTGCCTTCCTCTGCCTACGTCATAACATAAATGACATTTGGCATATTAACAAGGCAAATATCTCTCAAGATATTGCATGAGCACACCAGAGAATACAAAAAGTGCACATATGAACTCAAAATCTCATCTTATGAGATATTGAATTGAAATTAGCTAATTACAATGCTACAATTTAGTATTGCAAAAAAAGATCATTAGAAAATCCCTTCATGGTATATCTCTCAACTTGCCTAAAGCAAAGGTGGGGGTCAGCGGTGTAGAGATGGGATCGATTACCATGTTGATTCCCAAAAATGAAAATAAATAAATAACCGAATGATTTAAAACATAGTAGCTTACTGCTAGAAGAGTGGGAATATTTGCAGAGTCGCATTGCCATAATTATCCTTCTCTTTATTTCTCTGAGTTTAATTATCCTTCAATTTTATTTTTAATAATAACCCAGAATTGGAGCTTTTATTTCTCTGAGTTTAATTATCCTTCAATTTTCTTTTTAATGATAACCCAGAGTTGGAACTTTGCTCCCCTATACCCAGGGCACCTGCCCCCACCCCAAAGTCCGGACTTGAGAGACATGGAGGGTTTTTTCATGCTAAGCTCACGCGAAGGTTAGAATTTAAGACCCCTAAGCCGGTATGACTAAGAGACCTTGAGTTGTTGCCAACAGAGCCACCCCTTGGGGGCTCCTTCAATTTTAGAAGAGGGGCTCCTTCAATTTTAAATTCTAAACATCCTGTCTATAAATAAATAAATCAAGACTTTTCGGTCAGTTCTCAAGCTTCAGGGACTGTCCTAACCTTTATACTAACCATGTTTGGTTGAGAATTCTAATTAATGGTTGTCTTAGGAAAGGAACTACTTATATCTTCTAGCTTCATAGGGGACAATAATACATAAAATCAGATGATAGCATGGCTGTATTATCTTATCTGATAGAATACATGTGCTTTTTTCTTGCCTGTTCTTGATCATTTCGACCAAAAATGCAATGAATGTGGAAATCAGAACCGTTCATTAACGGCATTCCTTTTTCTTTAAAATTTAATTTCAATTTCTTTTAAAGGTTAAGGGACTATGCAATTTATTCATTATCCCACCTCTGACACATGTATTGCGTTTGTAATTTCAAACTCTCTATTTGGCCCATTATTTTAAACTAAAATTTGAATACTGTTTTGTTAAATTTTTCACAGATGACCTGCACACAAGTTTCAGGGCAGTTTG